GACATCTTGCAGCCAGCTCCGAACAAGCCCCAGCCTGCCCTGTGCCTGGATCCGGCCCCGTTTCCAGTCTTTTTAACCCTTCACAGGGCAGCGATGGAGCCAGGGTGGGTGGGGGGGGGACGACAGGACACCCCCAGCTCTGGGAAGGACCTGGGGCTCCGGCTCCTCGACCTGCCCTCAGGTGGGGACCCCCCGTGGGGTAACCCCATCTCTACCCTTCGCAGGTGCAAAACCTGAATAACATCGTCTCCTTCCCCCTGGACAGCCTGCTGAAGGGGCAGCTGAAGGATGGCCGCCTGGTGAGTCCCCTCCAGCACTGTCCCCGAGGCTCTGAGGCTGCAGGTCACCCATTTGGGGACATATTGCAGCAAGACCCCCGTTAGGGACTCAGCTTGTGCCCATGGCCAGGAGAAGGAAGGAGCAAATGCCCAAGGCTGGAAGGCAGCAGCGAGTGCTGGAAGGGACTGGAGTAAGGGGTGAAGACCCGGTGGGGACGTCCTTTGTCCCCGAGGAGCAGGGCAGGGCACAGCGATGCAAAGCAAAAGCTCTCGGCTGCGGGATGCTGCTTCGGTGCCACCGGGTCTTTCGCCTTCCCTGACAGCTGCCATCCCCCCTCTCCCTTTGCCGCAGGACTCCAAGAAGCAGATCGAAAAGGCCTGGAAGGATTACGAGACCAAAGTGTAAGGAACCCGCCGCCTCCGGCAAAATCCGCCTAATCCCGCTCCGCACAAAGGTGTTTTGTCCCAGGGCTGCAGCTGGGCACTGATGGGTGCCGGTTTGCCATCGGGTGGGCTCCGGTCCAGCCTTTCCCAGCTAGAGGGGCTGGAGATGTTTCTCCTGATCCCATCCCCACCGTAGCCCGCCCCATGGGACACCCCTTGGAGCAGGGCTGTCCCCAACCCGCTGTCCTGTCCCGCAGGGGGAAGATGGAGAAGGAGAAGGAACGAGCCCGCTTGGCGGGGGTCATCCAGGCCGAGCCGTCAGCGGCGGAGGTGGCCGAGGACATGCAGAAGGAGCGGCGGCTCTTCCAGCTCCACATGTGCGAGGTAGGGGCTGTGCCGGGGCGGGGGACGGGGACCGTTCGGCCTCGGGGGGGACACAGGGGACTGCTTTGCTCAGAGTTGCATGGGGATGTCAGAGCCTGTCCCCGTCCCCACAACCAAAACGGTCTCGCGTGGGTGCAGTGCGGGATGCCTTGGCTGTCCCCATCCCATCGTGTCCCTGCATGGTCCCGGCTCAGGGACACCCCCCATCCCCAACTTGGGGTCCCTGCGGGATGCGGCTTCAAATGGCACCCGCAGGTTACCCTGCAGTGAGGCGCCCGGGGGTTGCACCCACATCCTCCCAGCCCTGCTCCTACTCCTCCTCTGCAAAGCCAGAGGCTGGCATTTGGGGCAAAAAGTGAGCTTTTTGGATAACATCCCCGAGGTTGGCTTTGCAGTTTTGCCCTATTCTCAAAACTTCTCTTGGTTTTGGTTAGGGGGGGGCTCACGAGCGGCCCCAGATCCACGACGATCCCGGGGGTCCGTGCTCAGGAGGTGAGATGGGAATAGGTGAAGGATGGAGACCCGATGTCGGACCCCCCAGCGAGGAGGGGACCCAGGTGTCCTAGCTCCAGACATCCCAGCAGCCCCATAAACCTCTTGAGAGTGACACAGAGCAGGGGACAAATCCTCAGTGGGTTGTCCCAGGGGTCTCCCGCGTCCCCAGGGGCCAGGCAGCAGCATCTGAGCCTGGTGCAGCCCCGTGCCCCTCCCCGGCAAAGGGCAGGGGCTGCGGGGAGAAGTTTTTGCCCGCCGCAGCGGGGTCGGGGCTGGGCACGGGGCCGGGGAGCTGGGACCCGGCCGGATGAGTCACTCCCTTGAATAGCACCACTGTGAAATAAATAACAGCACATGGAAATGCGGGAGCTGCAGCCCGGCCGGGGAGGGGCCGCTGCCGGCAACCCTGCAAAGAGCGGCTGCGTGCGAGCGGGCGCACGTGCGCGTGTGTGCTGGCGTGCACGAGAGCTGCTGCTTTCCTGGGGAGCCTGCCTGGAAATGGGGGGGGGGCAGC